TTTTACATTCCCTTATCCTGTGGGTAGCAGTACTTTGGCAGCTATCCTAAGTTATGCAAATTAACATTAACACAATACACACTCTAGATCTATTTTCTCATACCGGAATAAAAAGATAATGTATTTGAAAAGATATGTGACTTTTAATGGGGCACATTTTGCGACGCTTTGCTTGAAACATAATTTCCCACTGGACAGATAAAATTTCTGAATTACTTGGTTTGAACTTGTAAACACTTCTTTGATGATGATATTATCTATTGCTTAACATAATTTGTAGTCTATTCCTTGCTTTGGTTTTGGTTTGGTTTTTTTTTTGAGAAATATTTGTGTGACTCTCTACTTAGCTGTACATATCCTTTTCATAAGTGACTTTTCTTATGTGGAAGCTTATAAAGTCTGTCACTAAACTATTTACGGTGTTACAGATTTACTGTTTGACAGTGACAGCAATGTGCCAAAATGCTTTATCCACCCTCAGACAAATAATACTCAAAGTAGTAGGAGGAATGAACAGTTTAAAGAAAACAATAATCACAAAATCTTTGATGACCTTTGCAAAGAATGATGTGATCTCTATCCAACTCTTATCTGCTACAGGTGAAGGACTTCTACTGTCTTGGAGACAGTTGTGCAATATCTGTATGGTGATCAATTAAGCCTTCACCTCAATGTTTCCATTTTGTTGGGGAAAGGGAAAAGTTTTGGGCGTTTATCTATATTTGAATTCGGAGATTACTTAATCTTTAAAAAGTTACTTTAAATTTTCACCATATTGAACAATCATTTCATTTGGAAGACTAGTGTCTGAAAGTGCTTCTTTTTTAGAAATTCTATTGTAGAAATTTATTGGCAGTCACTGCCAAGACTGTTGCCCCTGCCTAAAAATACATAGACAATGTGACAAATCTATTTAGCCATAGACACCAGTCAAAATGGAGACGTGTGAGTCGCCATGGTATCCTGCATGCATTTGACTCTCTGTAGGCTTTGTGACCTATTAGAGTGTCTGCTTTAAGGATTACATGCAACTGAAATCCTATAACCGTTCACACTGGGACAGAGGTGGGTGGCATTTTGGAAATGAAACTCACAAATAATTCCAAGTTTTACAGGTGGTCCCCATCCCAAAACCAGTCTGTACTAAAACTGATACTGAAAGTGGGATCTGTATTTTGTATTTAGGTCCATCTAGATTTGAAAATTTTATTCTTTGCGTGGCTTTTACTTTTTTCTCTCTTTCTCATTTGCCTTTATACCCTTCAGAAATTCTCTTAAAGTTTGTCTAGCCACTGTGGAAGTACCAAAGCAGATTTCTTAGGGTTGTCATCCAGTACTAGGGACTACGTTAGCAAAGCTTCTCAGAGTCCAAAGCTAAAAAAAAACAGGTTCTGTTCAGCCCTGCATCTCTACACTGCTCAGCTATATTATTCACAGGCTCCTAGCAGGCAAACTTCTGAAAGTTTCCCAACTTATTTAAATTAACCTAAAAATAAATCTTCTGATATGATTGTAATCAAAAAGTAATGGTTATCACCAGCTTGGTTTCAAATGAAATCATTTAGCTGTATTATTATTATTTCATAAAAAACAGGTTTAAAAATAGTAATTTCAGTTTCCAAAACTGAAAAATCTTGAATACTATGACATGCAAGGAAGAATAATTTTCCTGTCTGTGACTTATCTGGGGGGAGATTTTTAGGTTTCTTGATATGGACTATAGTTTTTAAAATATATACACATACATGTAATATAAAATACATCAACTTACATTTTTAATTTATGGTTGAAAATCCAACAAAGGTAAAGTCATCCTCAAAATACCACAGGATTTAGACATATTTTGCAATTCCTCTCAACTCCTGTGTTCATCCTTAGGAAGTTACTCATCTTTGACAATCTGGCCTTCTAGACTTGATGCCTCACTTAGGTTGTGCTTCCTTTCAAAGACAAGTGTCCTTAATTAGAAGCCTGAAGTTTTTAAGGGGACCCATTTGCTAGCTCTTCAGTTTTCTAATAATTCAAAAATCTTTATCAATCTCAATGATATCTAGGAACCTTTACTTAATCAAGTACTATCTTTTATCAATGGAAAATATCTCTTAATGTTACTGGCTGGTCCTTTTTTCCCTCTATCATTAGTTATTTTGTATACTTCCATAACAGCATCCCACATATCTTCTTTCCCATCTAATAGTTCTGTATGTTACAGCTCTCTCTCATCATATGGAAGTTGTTCCAGGTCTCTAATTATTTCCATTGTCCTATTCTTTTCTGGACCCTTTCCATTTCTGCTATATCCCTTATGAAAGCAAATGACTGAGATCTACCAATGCATAAGGCTGAAGGTGTATCACTGATTTATGTACCACATTGTTATTCTCCATCTCCCAATAAACACCAGTTCTCACAGCATGTTTTATGTTATGAACATTAGTGCCCACATAAAGACTTGTGTAAGACTATCTAAACTTCCTATTTTTGTGTGAATTTAGAGTAGTTCCAGTGGTACTTCCCAGCATGCATGTTTTTCCATCTTCAACATACACTTGCACAGACTGAAGCTGGTATTAATTTTTGGTACAACTAAATGCTTTAGTATTCAGCCTTCATTAGAGTGGTCTTGTGCTCCAGGATAATATTATTATTTTAACTTAAGCTGCTTGGCTCCTTTTTCAGCTGTGAATGTACTTACCAAAAATGTTGGTCAGCTAGACTTACACAGACAGCAAGTGGAAACATTTCTACAATTATTTGTCTTTAAATTATTCTCTTTAAATAAAAAAAAAAAAAAAAAGGTATCCAAGGAAAATTCTGAATATGTTAATACATAAAAGGTAATGGAGTCCAAAATCAAGGATTTGAGTTAGGCTAGTAAAATTATATTTAGGCATTTAACTGTGCTGACCATCTTTTGCTTCCTCAGTTCCTCAGAAGTAAAAAAAACTGCTGAAAATTCAGGTTTTCAGGCACCTGAATTTGTACCCAGGAGCCCAATTTGAAATATCTACTTCTGTAATCCCCACTCGAAGTTTTTCTAAGAAGCAACCAAGGAAATTCAGTTTAGCAAAAATTGTTGGTTTGGTTTTTTTCTTTGAATCAAATTCAAAATTGTTAGAAAACCTTTCTAACCTTATAAAGAATTTGCAGTATATCTCTGTACGACAGTAATATATCTTTCATCTTGATATTAGTTTTAAAGTACTCCTGAGCTCTATTAGAACACTGTGAACACAGCTTTGCCAGGTTTCTTTGCCAAAAGACCATAAAACACAATAAAGGATTTGCATTGCATCACAATGTTTCTCTACTGATATGAGAACAGTCTACTATGAAGGATGTTATTTAATTCAAAATGCTGGGGAACTATATAACAGAATAAGCAGAAGGGAACATTTAGAATGAACATGAGAGGAAAAAAATGTTCTAAAAAAAAAAGTAATCTATCAACACAGGTCCAAGCATGCAACACTTCCAAAGGAAGAGATGTAATCCTCGTCACTGGAGCAGTTTAGATTTAAGCCACACAAGTTGCATGGGAATATACAGTAGAGAGCAAACCCACACTGCCTTGAGCTGAATAGTTTGAGTGATCTAATATGTCTTCTGCCTGTTAAACAGAGTATTGAATAACATTTCAGGTGACAAGGTTTTGACTGGGGGGATAGGGTTGGTTTTTGGGGGTTTTGTTTGATTTTTTGCTTTTTTGTTTTTTAAATCTTTTATGGAACTTAGAGATCTAGAATTAGAATGAGCAAATATGCTCAGCTCTTTGGACTGCTGGTACTTAATGTTGCATAGACCTCTTTCATCCATGCTTTCACACTCACTGAATGACTAGCACAACTTGCACATCTACAGTTTCTCTCTAAGTTTACCCTGTACCCTTTCTCAGAAGGGTCGTGATGGCTTCTTCCCAGATGGATATTATTTTATTTCCTCAACTTTCTTACCCCCAGTATTTTTAACCCTCTGCATGCTATATCAGGCACAGCTGTTAATCCCCTTTTAGTTGTTATTCTTAGCATATGCCTTTTCTCTTATATTGTCCATTATGTTTCTTTTTCCCTCTCTTCTGTATGACTTTGCCTTGTTTTTCATAGTTACTAATTTGTTCTTTCCAGTGTCCCATTTCCACCCTTTACAGTGGTCTCCATTCACCCATCTCCCTTGACCAGTTCTGATGGAAGGAATTTCTTTCCAGAGACCTTCTGCAGTCTCTTTAGGATTTTAAAACTGAAATCCTACCTGAATTTCTTTCTCAGTCTCTGTAAGAAATCTGTTTACTAAGAAAGGCAGACTTGAGGAGAATTGTCCTAGAGTCTTTGTCAACTCCTTCTTTCAAAGGATGTTATTTCTGTCTTTCGTGTTTGTAGTGTGCCTAATGCACCCATAAACAAACAAAATCCAGCAAGGCAGGAGGAAGAAAAATTATCTTTTATCATAAATAAAATCTCATTCAAAAGAAGAGATTAATCTTTTAGATGTCTACAGCACAATAAGTGTCTATATCCAAGTTCATCAACATTATAACTCATATATATGTATAAAGTTCTGGGTTACTTTCCTTCATTTAGTACCCTGTTCTCTAGATTGATTGTAAAGAAAGTCTGGAGTAAATTAGATATAGGCATTCTATAAAGTTAACATCCACAGCTGGTTGGATTACTCTCAGCAGAAAGAAACAGATGCTCAGAGGAAAAGATCGGTATTGCTAATGTGAAGTCAGTGGAATTATGGCCTACATCAGCTATGGTCAAGGTATAACAACTTAGTGATAATAAATTCAAAAAATCAAATATGGCTGCTAGTACAAGAGTGGGCCTCAGCACTCTCCAAAGTTATTTGATTTGTGGGTTCTCATCAGCTTTTTTGTCCTCAATTATAACGTCTTTTTATTTCTTGGAATAAACTCATTAAGTTCTGCCTTTAAAAAAACTTCAGGACTTACTTCAGAAGACATTTCCTAGTACTAATGTTTTATAATGCTACTTTCTTACCTCCTTCCTTGGAACAGAGGGTGATCAGAGTGTGAACTGTATCCATCAACTCAAGCTGCTGTTTCTGCAGGACACTGTTATTGCTTGTTGCCTTGTTTAACTGCTTCTCTAGTTCCTGGATTATGTAGCTTTGCCGTGTGACCAAGCTTTGTAGGTTCTCTTTTTCCTCCTTCAAAGTGTCCAGCTCCTCTTTATGCCTTTCTTCCATTTCTAAAATTCTGTGCTCAAGTAAACTAAAATGAAATAAAACAATTAGTAGATATTATTTCATGCCAACATATTTATTAATACAGAAAACAACTATTTTATTTTTCACCATAGAATTCAGTACATAAATAATTCATTCTAAATATGTCACATCTACTAATTCAGCCCACTGATTTTCTCTATCTAGAGGCAAATATAACTGAACCCTAAGGTTCCATTTTGTGATGTTTGCATGCTGTAGTGCTTAAAGTGCATGGAACTGCATATCTAGTTGTTACACCCATCCAAGTGCACAAGCACAGGGCCAGTAACACATTTGTATGTAGAAGTTCAGGCAGAAAAGCCTAAGGTAGGCAAAGGAAGGAGAAGAGCATGGCATTGAAGCAGATGTCATTGCTAGTATTGATGGGTCAATATGACAAGAGACAAAAGTCAGGGGTAAACTAAGGAAGAGTTTGTGAAGGGCCTTGCCCTGATTGGAAGATAAGCATTAGGAGCTATGGAATACCATCAAAGGATATAGAACCCACAATAAAAATACCATTTGATGTGGTCTGTGAAGCTGGGAAAGGAATTGTACACCAGATGAGTGGTATCTGCTCTAACCTTAAGAATAGTACTGTTTCCTCAAAAGATAGATTAGGTTTGCATTTTAAAGTAGGATTCCCTTGTTTTCCTTGAGTCCACATACATATTTCCACACACGTGTCCCCCCCCACCACCTTTTCTGGTTTCATAAAAGGTTCCTCAGACAGAAAACCTTTGGGCATCATACCGTCATACTATGTAACCTGCTGGCATCAATTGTTATAAATAATTTTACACATATATGGAAACACTTTCTCCTAATTAATATTCTTTTTCTAGTACCCTCTCTGTCCTGAGTCGGAAGTTTACAATTTACAAAGATCAAAGGCCTATCACATTATACGTATAAGAATAGAGGAGTTGTAGACATAAAGGACAGCTAATATCTGTCAACAGTGATCAAGAAGTTTTTTCAGGCCAGGGCTTTGATGCTATGGTAGAAGTTTAGCAGAAAGAATTTATTAATATTAGATAAATTAATTCAACTTCTCTGCTACTTTCTGTTCGGTAATTCTACTGTGTACGCCAAAAGAGGTGTTTCTCATGCCCATAAACCAACTGGTGGTTCCAAACTTGCCAACAAACTGCTTCCTGTTCAAGTCAGTCCTAGGTTTTATTTATTTGCACTCTCCCCCCACCTTTGTTTTTACTTCTGGATAATAGATCAGTGGCAAAATGCCTGCATAATTTCAGGTCATTTAACCTAACTGAAGAATGTAATAAAATCCATATGGAGTTGTTTCTACCAGATATCACGGAGCCTTAGTATAAGCTGTTACAAATGATAACAATGCAAAGATTAAATTCAAGCCCTGGATTTGCTGTACAAGTTAGAGTAATATAAATCTTTTTTTCTTTTTTTAAATAAAAGAAACCAAGTAGCAAATATCTTTTTCTGAAATGTTATATGGGACTTACAAAGATACTGAAGAAAATATACTTCATAATATCAACATACATAGTTCTGTGAAAACCAGAAGGATCTGGGTAAACAGGGAAAAAAGGGAAAGATGGGGAAGGAAAACACTTTTTTGTGGGGTCTCAAATGCAAGGGGGAACATGATATCTCATTCTAAAAGGCTCATTAATTAGTAACAAAAGCATAAAAAGATTCAGTGGACTGGAATTAGATGATAGAAAGTACAGATTTTGAAGCCAAAAACAATAAATTATCTTAACACCTTATCAGACCTGTAGCTGACTTTTTTCGTCACTTGAACTCTAACATAAAACACAATGTCTTTATGCTCTCGACTTACATGGATTTTTTTGAGAATATTTATATGGAAGTCTTTGAGCTTTGTTATGCAGAAGGTCAGGCTAATTAGTTTAGTTAGGCAGAAGTTGTTGAAAATGTTCTTATGGAACTGGTTTTAGTTATAAAATACTGTTCAAAAATAAAAAAAAAAGTTCTATGTGAATTTTATCAGTTCTGTCCACTTTTTCGCAGAAATTATTGAAATGTTCATTTTGACTTTAGATTTTAACTTTTCTGATAGGCTATAAATTCTATCAATGCACTTTGGATAAGAACAAGGTGGGCACAGTTTGTGATAGAATGGGTGCTAGATGTCGCCACATTCCAATCTGACATCTTACAGTCCATCGAAAATGTTGTGTATTGTCAACGTAAGAGAATATGCCATTCTTGAAGCCAGAATATTGCTTTATAGTTAATGGTAAGTAAAGACAAAAAAAGTTCCCTTTATCTTTGTCCATATCCTAGTGCAATACAGGCCATTTTCCTAATTCCACAACATCTTATCTGCATGTCCACATCTAAATGATTTCCATATCTGAATGATTTCATGTAAAACAAAGAGCCTTTGACAGCCATAGTTTGTCAATTGCATTATTTGTTTCCCACCACAGCCTTCCTAAGACCATAGTAAATGAACCCATGGTGACGACAGTCTTAGCTGTAGCAACACTGGCCATGTCAAGCAAGAAGTAAGAAGCTGACAATGTTTAAAGCTTCTCAGTTTGGTGTCTACAGAGACAGACAGCAAGCAGATGTTTTACGGTTTTAGTAATAATATATCGTAATATTTATGAGTGGTGTGTCAACAACATGTGGTGGAAAGATGGGAGTGTCATAGCACTTGGTTCCTTTGCAGTTTTCTACACAGATTAAAAGTCTTGTTATTATAAACTGTAAAACTAAGCTATTTTAAGCAATGCATGTGCATTTATGTAATGACCTTTCTATATCCATAAATCTACAACAGATAAGTCCTGAGGATAGGACCACTCCCTGTATTTCAAGGAGAAATCCAAAACATTGTGTTTGACTAAGAATCAATGAGAAACCTTTGGTCAAAGCTCCAAATGAACAAAAGCAAAAACTTCACACAGATTGGAGATTTCTGCACTGGCCTGTTCCAAAAGGAAGAAATCCTTAAACAGCATTAGAAAAGCTGCTTTTATGGCCTTTGACTCCAATGTGGCCAGAATATTTAATCCATATTGTTATATTCATACTTATTATAGCTCTTTTAAATAAAAAAAAAGTGCTAGAAACCTCATCAAAAAGTCTTGAAACAGGTTGAAACTAATTACAAAGATATTTAGATATATGTATTTATTTTTTTAACAGTTGTGAGACTACTCTGTTCTCTCTTTTTTCCTTGTGATATCAGACAATTTCTAATAGACAAATACCATGAGGAAATAACTTTGTTAAGTACTTGGTAAAGATATTTTCTCAATTTTTAAAAAAGCCATTGTGAAGACAGAGTTAAAATGAGAATATTCCTATTAGTTTTCATTAATGACTATTGCTGACATAAAAAATTAATGAAAACAAAAAGCAAGCTGTCTCTATAACAATTAATCCAACAATCTGTAAAGGTCGAGTAATACGGTTATATAACATTCTTTTATAACACTTTTGAGTGAGATGTTATGGGTATGAAGTAATGACTGGCTCTTTTTTACAGTAAGTCTACTGTATATGTTTCCTATACATTTGAAATTCCTATACATTTCCTATATGTTTGAAAATATTACTGACTTAGATGAAGCAGTCATGGGAACTACAACACTCACAATAAAAATAAATCACCATTAACTAGAAGCATCAAATATATACATATACACACGCACACGTATGTGTGTTTTTTAGAACTGTAGTCTTCAGTTTGGGGAAACAAATCAGGCATCTGGGGAACAGAATGAAGTTGTGAAGAAATAAATGTTGTTGTTAACATGGATATATACCAATATTATCATCTGGACAATGACTCTTTGGAGTAATTATCTAGAAGACAATTAAATTAAAAACAAACACACACACCCCCACACCCCCCCAAACCCAGACAAACTTAATTGTCCTAAAGGTTAACCATGTCTCAATGTCTAACCCACTGATCTTGGTGAGGCTAGGAATCTATTTTCAATCATACAAATGATGTGTTAACTTTGTCAGGATATAAGCCAGTGGGATGCCTCGGTGCAACTGTGCTGTGTCCAGCTGATTCAGACAAAGCCCTCTGATAGCAGTGGAGAGGGTAGAAGGCCCATACAGAAGTCAACGAATGACTTCCAGTGAAAGCTGTTGTCGTTCTGAAAGGTGATGAAGTAGAACATATAGAAAGCACTCTGATAGCTCTCCAGGGAGGAAGGAAATTCTGGTTTAGACAATCTTCCTTATAAGGTAGGTAGTTTATTCACTAATCCATTCCAGACCACAGCAGTTTAAGAGATTTTTTTATCTTTGTTTTCAGAGGCCTCAGTTTAGACATGTGAGAACAGGATATAGACCAGATCTTAGAAACGGACATCTTTCGCATTAAAATAATCTTTTAAAAAAGTCTGGATTTATTAAAAATATAGACAAAAACATTTTCTTTGTTGAGCTGTTCAATAAAGACAGACAAGTAGCGCCACATTAGAAAAAATTCTTTGGCTGTATATATGTGGTTTTCTTGTATTGTGTATGTATGGGAAGACAGGTAGAGGATTTAAAGGCTTACTTTTGAGTGCAAGAACAGTATTTTCTCATTGAGACAGCTTCTTCACACTTGCTTTTACATGAGTGAATTTTTTCCTATACTGTTAGGTGCTGGTCACTCATACTTACTTTGGTGGTCTGATATTGTCTGATCAGTTTTAGGAAATATAAAAATATGTGTCCCCATATTTCTCAAGGCCAGTGAAGTAACTGGTTACTTAGCATCAGTAAGCCTATTTTTTATACAAGTGACTAGATAATTCCATTGAAATCACAAAAGTGAAGTGAAAAATCTGGATTTATCTTTTTAGTATATGCAAAACCTGCAAATAAAACTCAGACATATTGTGTTTCCTCATCTTTCATAGAGTCAGATGGAAATTTAAGAATCATTCCCGAGTCCTCGCCTTTCATAGGACACAACAGTTCTTGTACTGCAAGCGTGAATCTAGTGTGATTGTCTGCAAATTCAAGTTGGAATTTATG